ATGGGGCAGGCGAGAGAGGGTGGTGCAGGCTATGTAGCGGAGAGGTGGGGCGGGACGCAGAGGCTGGGCTGGGCTGCACAGCGGCCCAACAGGGCAGGTTCAATTCCAAGGCCCCATCCCACTCCCTGATGACTGCAATGCCCCACAGAAGTCGTTCGACGCCCACCCGCGCAGGGAGAGCCAGGTGCGGCAGCTGGCATGGATCGGTGACGGGGTGTGGGTGTCCATCCGCCTGGACTCTACCCTGCGGCTCTACCACGCACACACGCATCAGCACCTGCAGGATGTAGACATCGAGCCCTACGTCAGCAAGATGTTAGGTGAAGGGTCCCGACGGGCATAGAGGAGCAGGGGACGCAGCCTGACACACACACAGCCCCTGTGGTGAGGGGCAAAGGGGAGGCCCAACTGCCGATAGGCACACGTGCGTACACACACACGCACACACACACACCCTGTGGTGAGGGAGCAAAGAAGAAACTCACCTGCAGACAGGCACATGTGTACACACGCGCACACGCACACACCCTGTGGGAAGGGAGCAAAGAGGAAACTCACCTGCAGACAGGCACGTGTGTGTACACACACCCCCACACCCACACACACCCCCTGTGGGGAGGGAGTAAAGGGGGGACCCACATGCTGACACGCATGTGTGCGTACACACACACACTCCGTGTGGTGAGGAGGCAAGGGGAGGCCCACCTGCCAACAGGCACACGTATGTAAACACACACACACACACACACACCCTGTGGGGAGGGAGTAAAGAGGAAACTCACCTGCAGACAGGCATGTGTGTGTACACACACCCCCACACCCACACACACCCCCTGTGGGGAGGGAGTAAAGGGGGGACCCACATGCTGACACACATGCGTGCATACACACACACACTCCGTGTGGTGAGGGAGCAAAGGGGAAACTCACCTGTGGACAGGCACGTGTGTACACACACACACACACCCCCTGTGGGAAGGGAGTAAAGGGGGAACCCACATGCTGTCACGCATGCGTGCATACACACACACACACACACACTCCCTGTGGTGAGGGGGCAAAGGGGAGGCCCGCCTGCCAACAGACACGCATGTGTACACACACACACACCCTGTGGGGAGGGAGCAAAGGCGGAGATACACACACACCCTGTGGTGACGGGTGCAGGAAGACACTCACTGACCCCTCACGGACTCCCTTCCCCCAGGCACTGGCAAGTTGGGCTTCTCATTCGTGCGCATCACAGCCCTACTCATTGCTGGCAACCGCCTCTGGGTGGGCACTGGCAATGGTGTGGTCATCTCCATCCCGCTGACGGAGAGTGAGTCTTCTGGGACCCCTGGAAGGACAGGGTGGGCTGCACCCTGAGGCTTGAGTTTGCTTTCTTTTGAGCCAGGGTTGGGTGGGCTACAGAGGGGACTTTAGGCTCGCCCCCTGCCTTTTAGTAACACCCCCTCCCTCCTTCCCAGCCGTGGTCTTGCACCGAGGCCAGCTCCTAGGGCTCCGAGGTAAGTCTAAGACACTGCCTGTAGATTGGGGAGCGCTGCCCGTCAGGGGGCTGCTAGTGTCAGAGGCTGACCCGTGGGAGGATGGCTGCCCATCGGGGGGCCCTCCCAATGCTGACCCTCACTCCTACGCTAGTCCTCCCACGTGGCAGTCCGCCTCCCAAGGCCTCGCTTCTCTGTCTACGATGCTAGTCCTCCCTCCCAGCGCTAGCCCCCCACACGGCAGCCTCTCTGTCTCCAGCCAACAAGACGTCCCCCACGTCTGGGGAGGGAGCCCGCCCAGGGGGCGTCATCCACGTATACGGTGACGACAGCAGTGACAAGTCGGCCAGCAGCTTCATCCCCTACTGCTCCATGGCACAGGCCCAGCTCTGCTTCCACGGGCACCGGGACGCCGTGAAGTTCTTCGTCTCTGTGCCAGGTGAGGGGCTGCGCAGGCCCACCCGCGGGGCTTGGTGGCCCTGCAGTGCTGTGCGGTGGCCTGGCCACGCTCTGAGACCCTTCTGTGCCACGACAGGGAATGTGTTGGCCACCCTCAACGGCAGCGTGCTTGACAGCCCGTCTGAGAGCCCCGGGGCCCCAGCCGCTGCCACGGATGCCACCGAGGGCCAGCTGAAGAACGTGCTGGTGCTCAGCGGCGGGGAGGGCTACATCGACTTCCGCATTGGTGAGTGGCCGGGGGGCGGGGCCGGGGCTGCTGGCAGGACCCCCCTCACGTGGCTTCCTTGCAGGTGACGGCGAGGACGACGATACTGAGGAAGGCGGGGGGGACGTGAGTCAGGTGAAGCCCGTGCTGTCCAAGGCCGAGCGCAGCCACATCATCGTGTGGCAGGTGTCCTACACCCCTGAGTGAGCCGCTGCCACCGCCACCACCAGTGTACATACAACACCCGCCTGCCCGCCGTGGCCAGCCCAGAAGCCACCGCGGCCCCTAACCTCTCAACTGCAGCTTTCACCTTCCGTCTGGGCCCCTGGGCAGGCAGTGTGGTGGCACAGGTCAAGCCTGGGAGCAGCGGCCACAGCAGGGCCCCCTCATCAGGGAGAGACCCCTTTCCTGGCAGCTCCTGGCTGGCCAACACCAGTCCACTGTCCTCCAACCCCAGGGCACCTCAGGGCCACAGTTCCACTGTGGGCCTGGCTGTGGGCAGCCCCTGCCAGTGGCTCCTGGGCCCCTAGTCCCCTCACCCCAGGTATTCCCCAGAGCCAGCAGCCCACTTGGACCTCTGCGAGTGTGGGTCCAATCCTGTTTCGTGATGCCGGAATGGGACTGTCACCCAGTCCCTGGCTCTGCTCTAAAGAAGCTGAACCCTGATAGGCCATTGCCCAGGGAGGCGGAGCTCAGGCCACCTTGCCTGGACCCAAGGTAGCCTTCCCTGGGGTTTCCCCCTCCCTCAACCCTCACCCTCCATTTCCCGCTGCCCCAGGACACACCAGGCACCCTCCTGCTCGCATACATGCCCCAGTCCCTGTCTGTCCAGCCCCCACCCCTCCGGGCGTTACCCCAGGCAGGAGTACATCCCCCTTGTGGGCACAGGGACCTGCGGTCCTGCCTCCCCCCAGCTCCTAGGGCAAGATTTCCCAGGCCATGCAGCTTCAGGAAGGGGGACCAGCGGAGAATTCAGTCCAGCCTCAGGTTGATGGGACGACAGCATGCTCCCAGGTCTGCCCTGTGGAGCCGGGGCCAGGAGCTCAGCTCTCCATGTGACTAAGTGCCTATGTGGGCTGTTCTTGAGGGCAGCTGACAGGCTGCAGAGCAGACCCAGGGCTCAGGACGAAGGCCACCCAGCTGAGCTCTAGGTGTATGTGTGTGTAGGGAGGCGCTCAGCTCCCAGGGTACTGCCTGCCCTTGACCACCTCCCCAACGGACAGGCCTTGCTTGCTGCCCCCCAGGCCTTACTCTTCCCTGTACACTAGGCACTGAAGCAGGACAGCCTGCCCTCCCACCTCCCTGCCCAGCCAGCCGCTGCAGCAGCCCCAGGCCACTGCAGGCTTCTCCCCGCCACCTCTCCACTGTGACCTATGTAAAGTCCCTTGTCTGTCCCCAGAGGATTGTGAAGTGACAGGGTGAGCAGATGGTGCACCTGGAGAAGGGCAGTGTGACAATTCTCCCTGGCTTTGGCCCTATGAGTGACCCCATGTACCCGTCCTCTGTGTAATAAAAGTCTCCACGCTGTCCATCCACCCCTGCGCCAGCCAGTGAGGCACGGGGCTGTCTTTAATACAAAAGGAAATGGTTGGACCACGTCTGGTGCCCGTTTGCCCGGGCTGGGTTTCCACATGCGCTGCAGGGTGGGGGAGCCTCTGAGCCTTCTGAGTGAGTGGCTCATAGGGCAAGGACACCCCACTTGGGTAGGGCCTGTCCGCAGGGAGGTCCTGAGCAACCTTGTCTCTGTCGAAGAGGGTTAGTGCGTCGGTACGTAGCCTGGGGCCCACGGAATGACGCCAGGCTACTCATACAGCCAGTGCGCCGCGCTGTCCTCCCAGCACAGGACCTCCTCGGCTCGGAACCACAGGGCGATCTCGCGGCGCGCGCTCTCCACCGAGTCGCTGCCGTGGACCACGTTCCTGCGGGAGAGGGGCGGCCTGAGCGCGGACACCAGGGGGCGGGCCGCCGGCAGAGCCTCGAGATGGCCGGGATGGGGGGTGCTCAGGCTGCTCCCCGCGGGCCTTACTTGCCGACCTCGATGCAGAGATCCCCGCGGATAGTGCCCGGCGCGGCGTCGGCCGGGTTAGTGGCCCCGATGAGCGCCCGGGAAGCGCGCACCACGTCCAACCCCTGCCACACCTACGGCAGGGCGGGGTCAGCGCGGGTCCGCGGCTCGGGGCGCCCCGGCCCGACCTCGGCCCCACTCACCATGGCCACCATGGGCCCCGAGCCCATGGAGCGCACCAGGCGGCCGAAAAAGGGCCGCGCGCGGAGCTCGGCGTAGTGCTCGCGCAGCAAGTCCTCGGAGGCCTGCGGAGAGCGAGGGCTCAGCGCCGCCCGGCCCCGGCCCCGGCCCCGAGGACGCCCCCGGCCGGCCGTCACCTGCACCAGCTTCAGCGCCACCAGCTTGAAGCCCTTCCTCTCGAAGCGCCGCACGATCTCGCCCACCAGCCGCCGCTGCACGCCGTCCGGCTTCACGGCCACGAAGGTGCGCTCGTGCGCGCCGGTGCAGCCTGCAGACCGGGCATCGGGCCGCGGGGACCTCGCTCGGCCCCACACCGGCCCGGTCCCTCCACCCCGTCCGGCTCCCTGAACCCGGTCCCCTCCTTCTGGCCCGCTATCCCCTGTCCAAGGCCCGGTGCCCCCGCCCTAGACCGCTCGCTCCCCGCTCAGGGCCTGATCCCCTCCCCTGGGTCCCCGGGCCCGCGCCGCTCACCCGCCGGGAAGAGGTTGGCGAAGATGGTCAACACCAGACAGATCATGATGGCGACCGCGGCGGGGCGGATCGAGTGCCGGCTCGGCGGGGGCGGGCCGGAGGGGGTGGGGCCTGGCCTTAAAGGGGCCGCGGCCGGCGGGCCCGGTGCAGACAGCTCTGTGGGGAGTCCGAGGCGTATCTCCGCCCCTAGCAGCTCAGGTCTCCCAAGACGAGTGGTAGCGCGGCTCTGGCCCTCCACCACCCAGGGCGGCTGTCCCGCTGCGGCGCCGGCCTTTTCCTCTCTGCAACCCGCCTCTGGCCCTCCAGCCGCAAACTCAGAGAAACCACACGCGGGCTACTTCAGTGGCCTTTATTCACGTGCAGAGCCGAGGTCTGGGCAGAAGGCAGCCACTCTGCAGTTCTAGTCGTCGCCACCAGCGGCCTCCCGGCCGCTGGCCCCAGGAACACAGGCGATGCCAGGTCCAGGAGCCTGCCCACGCCATCCCCCAGCCAAAAAGCATCGGGAGGAAGTGTATCCAAGTTCCGAGGGGCTGACCGGGATACCAGGCTCCTTCCTTCCGTACGGGGCCTTGCAGCCCTGGGCTAGCTGGCCGCAGCTGGCACTTTACACTGGGGTGCCCTTGGCCTTGCCCTTCGTCTCCAACTTTACAGGGTAGTCCCAGGGCCTGATGCCAACCCCCTCCAGACGCAGCATGGGCTCGTCTGTGCTCGCGTCCCCGCTTTTCTGCCGCTGGGCCAGAATCATGGCCCTGAGGAGGGGTGGGTAGGGCACGGAGCGCGGGGGGTCCTTGCTGGTAGGCGTGAGAGCGGTGAAGGCCGCCTCCTCGTGCTTGGGCACCAGCCGCCAGTCGTGATGCATGACATGCTCGATCTCCCGGGCCTCGCTCTCCGTCTGGCCTGGGGGAAGAGGGACGGAGCGCATAGCGCCGGTTCTTAGCTGTCTGCGGCCTGCGCCCCCTGCGCGGTCCCGCAAGCCTTACCTTTGAAGGTCAGCACGCCCCAGGCTTTTCCGTGGTCCACGTTCTGCAAAGCAAGCGGAAAGCCGGTGAGCTCAGCAAGCTTGTTACCCACCCTCGCCAAAGGTTCAGGGGGCGCCTGTGCCACAGTAGGAGCACGGGGCTCGCGTCGTGGGCTGGGTAGAGGGCGCTCACGCACCTGCGCCGTGTAATCCGGCCGGACCCGGGTGAGGCGCCAATAGCACGGCTCGTCGTGCTGCCACAGCCAAGACTTGCGCGTGACCAGACGGCCGATGCCAAAGAGAGGCAGGCGGCAGAGCAGCTGCATAAGACGGCTCTCGCGGCGCACGTCGGTCCAGGCTCGCGGGGGCAGCCGGCGGCCGGAGAGCGGCCGTGTCAGTGTCTCGTAGTCCAGGGCGTAGCGCTGCGAGTCGCGCGGCCTATCGCGCTGCTCGCGCAGGGCCCGCACGCGCCGGGCCAGCTCGGCGATCAGTCGCGGCCGTACCTTTTTCCGCGCCATGGTCGGTCCGCACTGGCGGTCCGCACCCTCGACGCTCCGACCGGGAACGGCCGCCGCCTCGCGCGCCGAGGACCGCCCGCCGCCGGAAATTGCTGGTGTCCCGGGCAAAGGCGTCCGGGCGCGTCCGGAAGCGGGGGCGCGGTGCGGAAGGCCATGGCGAGGGCCGGGGCTGGGAAAACCGCGGGAGCCCCGCGCGGGGGCCGGGGCCAGCGGCGGGCTCCGACCTGGGAGATCTCGGACTCGGACGCCGAGGGCCCCGCCAGCGCGGAGGCCGCCTGCCGGGCCCGGGACCCGGCGGA